AAACACTGATTACATATGATATGTCTAACATACTGCATGTAAGGCCCAAAATCACCGGCTTTTGTGCACTGGAAACTGCAGCTTATGGATGCTTCAGGAGTATCAGCGTGGTGAGGAATTCTTAAAAGCATCCCTATTGCATCTGTCCATTCAGAAAATTTCCTAGGAAACATCATGGATGATTCCAGGTAACCAGTCACCTGTGGTAGTGTGTAACACAGCAGTTGGGGTCCAAAAATATAGTAACAATTTAAAGCAGTATCTCTTAAATTGAGTTACCCCAAGACACAAGGTGGTATAGGTATGTTGAATTCTTGAAAAAACTTGCACAATAGCAATAGTAATTACCATGCTCATATTGTGGAGAGATTTATTTTTTGAAAAACATCATCTTTCATATGAAATTAATATTGTGAATTTGAATTTTATTGCTTACATCAATATGTATTTGTAAAAATGATTCAAGTTTATAGGTGGATAAGAGTGATGGGGATGAGTTTATTCATAGCTTTCTGATTGTGAATATTTAATTAGCCATTAAAATAAAAACAAGTCAACATCTGGAAATGTTTTGCTTTCAGTGTGATCCATATATTATTGTTCAAGTTTGGGGAAGAACAAAAACACAAACTGTTGTGTGCTTTCTGAGAAACACACTGTTTTAAGCATTTCAGAACCACCCTGGCACCATTAAATCCAGAGTAACACTAGCCAACCTTTATGTCATCTAATTCTGCAGTTATAATTAAGAAATAACTCTAAGTAAAATGACTGAATAATGCTAGCTCTTTTTTTGTTGTTGAGATTGAACTGAGAAATTCCCAGTAGACCTATTTTTAATGTTGTTTTTAATTCCTCCTTGGATTATATTTAGCTACAATGATGTAACAAATATCCATATATGAGGTCCTGTGCTATATGCTGTCAAACTTAGGAGGTAGAATTATCATTGCTTTGTAAATGACAAAAATACGGCTCAGAGAGATTAAACTGTACAAGGTCACATAGTAAGAGGTATAGTTGACACTTAGTTGTAAATATTCTGATCTCAAGTTCATTTATTTTTTCACTCATCATACTAGCTCCTTCTGATCAATATACTTCTTTCTTCTATTAAAAAATTAACTTAGCATAAACAAATTTTACTTTGACTATAGACTTTTATGTGTACCAAAAAATATTTTAACTTACTAAGGATTGGGTACTTTAATTTTCAGACATTAGTAACCTACCACAGGACTTAAACTTTGAGTCTTTCTAGTTTCTCAAATATGTTCATATTTATTCTGCCATTTTTTCTTGACTTTCATGATTAATAGCACACGTTTCTAAAACTACAAGGACATTGAAAATAAACCTCTTCTGACTTTAGAAGGCAGCATTATATGAGAGAATTTCTCTTGTCACAAAGAACATCGCAACAATAGAACCTTTGGAATATTGAGAATTCAAGTTAAATTTATTTATTCAAACAAATCAATTTTCTTAAAGATTTAACACTTTTATGTTTTCTTGCATCTAGGGACCTTTTAAAAGGAGGGCTTACTTAGTTGGATGAATTGAAATATTTCAAGATCAGAACAGAAGTTTATAAAGATGCTCAAATAAGTTTTAAATACTCCTGCCTGTTTTCTTTGCTCTCTCATTGATTGAAATAATTCATGTAGCAATGTCAACAAATGTAATATTCATGTAGCAATGTCAACAAATGTAATATTCATGTAGCAATGTCAACAAATCATAAAATTTTGCCTAAAATATTAAAATTGACAACTTTATTATTATAAAATAAATTGTCACAATTGCCTTCTATTCTGCCATCTTGCTTTACCTCTTAAGTTTAATTTAGGTATTAGTAATCTGTTTCTAAAACGTATACAGAAATGCAAATAACCTGATTGAAAGTCTTACCTCACACCATATACAAAATTAATTTGGCATGGATTATACAGACTCAATTCAAAACCTAAAGCCCATTAGCACTTGTTTCATTTTAACATGGTAACTGAACAAGAAGCTGTTTGGAATTGGCAGAAGTCAGACAAATGACCAATCTTACATGCTCACTCTTCCTCTCTTGAGCTGTTATTTATATTCAAATTAAATACACATTGTTTCTCTCTGTATATATCTATGTACTTATTAGATTCTAGTTTATAAACTGCACATGCTCAATAACTTTGAGAAAATTTACTGAAAAGGAAAAGATAAAATATTTCTATTAAGGCCTGAAGTTATTTTTAAGCTGGCCCATAGAAACAGGTTCAGGTAAACTGTCTAAAAAAGCAAAGTAGGTGCTTATGAATAGTATTCAATGCCTAGGATAAACGTCTAAAAAGTCTCAGTAGTACCGCTAGCCAGCCAATAAAATATAAACTCCATATAGAACAGTTTCCAGCTTAGAAACAGTCAATCCAATGACTTCCATAACAATCTACCTGCATATTTTATTCAGTCTCTAGAACATGGAAACTTTAAAAGTGAATTGGCTAAATAGGCAAGAATAGGCAAGAACTTCTGAAAGTTAACATGTTAATGATTAAAAACAGTAAGTACAGGTTAGTAATTACCTGGGTAATTAATTGAAGCCTTATTCTATTTTGATAAGACTTACTTGCTTAATTCAAGCAGGACAAATTTTAGTTAAATTACCTAGATAATTATGAGATATTTTTACTTGAGAAGTGTAGAACTTGTCTCGGCTGTAAAACTAAATATATTATTACTAAAAGGATAGCCAGGTAGAATTCTAACTCATATTATTGTATGCTTAAGATTGATTTCACGACAGCAATTCCCAGTTAGCACATTTTAAAAATCAGATCCAGTTATATCTGTATTATGATTTTTCTACCTTATGGACTATTTTGGAGGGATAAGCCATCAATACTAAGAGTGCGAATGAGAGCTGGGGAGGGAGCGGGAGGGGAGGAACATGTACACCACGTTAACACAGAGGCTATATTCCGGCTTGGACTGTTCTTTACTACTGTCCCTAAAGAAAATATTCATTCTGCTGCAGCTAACTAGCCTTCATCTTCTACACCAAATACTATTCCATGCCATGGAAGTGCTATGCAGTAACTCTCCCAGGTAGCACTTTATACGGCTTAAAAGCCTTTAAAATCTCTAATCTGAAGCTGTCACAGTAAAGACATGTAAACACTTAAGAAAACAAAAATGTAATTACCTGATGAAGTCATCTATGTCCATGGAATGGGCCCGTTTGTCACTAAAACCCCTGCTGGTTAGGATTTGCTATAGTTTATCTGCTATGCTGAAATCTTCCGGTATTATCTATCAATATAAGATTCAGAAAAAAAATAAAAGGCATGTATTAAAAAAAAAAACCCTAAAACTGAAAGTCATAAGCTACCAAATAAGAAATAAGTTATACTTAATCACATTAAAATTTTTTGTTCTCCAAAAGCTAAGATAATGAAAAAGACTGGAAAAAGTGTTTGTAAAATGTATGTCTAATAAAGAACTTGTATTCACAATATGCAAACAACTTTCAAAGATCAACAAGACAATCAGCCTGATTTTTCTAAATGAGCATATAATTTTAACAGACACTTCACAAGAGAAGATATAGGAATGACCATTAAATACATTAAAGGATGCTCAGCACTATTAGTTGAGAAACCACAATAAGGACATAATACACATATATTAAATTGCTAAAATAAAAAAGCCCAAACTTACCAAGTATTTTCAAAGAAGCAACTAAAAATTTTGTATATTTTTTGGTAGAAATGCAGAAATATTGAACAGTTTCTTAAAAAACATAATTGTAATACTACCATCTTACTTAAAAAAAAAATAAAACTGTATGTCCACACAAAGACCTGATTACAGAAGGTTTATTTATAAGAGCCTCAAATTAAAAAAAAAATATCCATCAAATGTGAATGGATAAACGAAATGATATATCCACACAATGGACTACTACTCAGCAATAAAAAGAATATACAACAACATGGATAAATCTCAAATGCATTATGCTAAATGAAAATTCCCGGCAACAGACTATATTCTATACAAATCCATTTATTTCAAATTTGAAAAAAAGGCAAAACTGACAGAAATAGATTAGTGAGGGTCAGCTGCTGGGGTCGAGATGGGGTTTAATTGTATGTAAAGCAATATGAGGAATGCCTTGGGGATGATTAAAATATTTATTTTTGGTGGATTTTGGTAATGATAGAAGGACCATGTACATCTGTCAATATGCACCTACTGTTCAGTTAAAATAGATGAATTTACCATATGTAAATTATACTCAATAAAACTGATAAAAGATAATGTCTCATTCTATGTGTAAAATATCATTGCAATGAAAATAATTTAAGTTCTCGAAACACAAGCTTTGAAAACTCTCTCATATTCCCTGTGAAAGAAAAATATCTTGGGCCCCAAAAATCACTAAGCTAAATGGAAAATTCAAGATGGGAACTGTTTAGGACAATACTGCCTCCCATTTTATTCAAAGTCATGCCTCTACTCACTGAGGTTAATGCATATCTGATTGCCTCCTTTGGAAAGGCTAATCAGAAACTCAAAAGGATCCAACTCTTTGTCTCTCACCTACCTGTGACCTAGAAGCCCCAGTTGTCCTGCCTTTCTGGACCTAACTAATATTCATTTTACATATGTCAATTGATGTCTCAGGCCTGCTTAAAATGCCTAAAACCAAGCTGTGCTCACAAGTCCTCAGGATCTCCGGAGTGTAAGGTTTGAAGAAAGAAGAAACACGAAAAGCGACTCAGCAAAGACAGGTTGATTTTGGATAAATAAAATGAATAAAAGCTGCTTTGCCTTGTCATCTGCATGGACAATCATTATTTGAAAAAAGTTTGAGGAGACCACATCAGGACGAAAAGAAAAAGGAAGGCTGAGGTTATCTAAAACAGATTTCTTCAAATACGCTTGTCTATAAGCATTTCAAATGTAAAATATATAGAGTATTGTATTTTCTGTTGTTCTATTACCGGAAACAGGTCTTGATCCAGACCACAAGAGAGGGTTCTTGGATCTTGCACAGAAAAGAATTCAGCGCAAGTCCATAAAGTGAAAGCAAGTTTATGAAGAAAATAAAGGAATAAAACAATGGCTACTACACAGAGAGAGCCGCCCTCGTTTTACCCAGCCCCTGCTCAAGATGGAGTTGCTTTGGTTCAAATGCCTCTGACAGTTCCTTAGTAAATACAGCATAAATTCTATTTTTTACACCTCATATTTTTGTTTAATTAGGAGATTTTTTCTAGTTATTACCAAAGCTGATCACAGTTTACATCTACCTTACGTAACGTCCATGCCCATGTTTCTCTCTCCCTCTCTTCTTTCTTCCACTCTCCCCTCTTTCTCTTCCACAGTGCGGTATGGGAGTACAGGAGAGAATTTTTCAAGCATGCAGAAGTCGCCACAAAGAGCAAGACTGAGCAACACTGAGGACTCTCAAGAACCACTGCTGAGATACATTAACGATCAGGCACTTCCAATTGAGTGCCGTCAATTGTCTCCTCCTGGCTAAAGCCTCGTTTTTTATTATTGTAAATACAGAAGTCAAATCACAATTACTGAGATTCTGCAATTAATGTGTTTAAAATTAATACCAGTTGCAGTAGCTGAATTAATTACAGAATACATCAGCCGCCAAAATTAACACCCAAAAAACCATGCTTTTCTCTGTCCAATTCACATATCTGCTCTGAGGGCCATCAGTAAGAACAGGTCCTCAGTCTCTAGCTCCAGATGCATTGCCTTTCCACCTCACTCCTCCCTGCCTCTGGAAATGCTCAGATCTCTCGTCCCCACGAGGCAGTCAGGTGATATTCATCAACTACCATCCTGGTCCCAGCTCTCCAGCATTGAGAATCAGATACATGAGTATTTGAAACTGATAAACCATAGTAAAAAAAAAAAAAAAAAAAAAAAAAAAAAAAAAACAACTAAACTAATAACCTTGAATTATATTTACATATAGTTATATCAAAAAGAAAAATACCTCGTTAATATCTTGGTTACTGATATTGGCACTTTTCATTTAAATAAATGAACCCAATAGATCAATGAAGTACTAAATTTAGTTTGTCACAGTGTAAAATCATTTTATAAACAAATTTTAATTACGATCTATAAGATACAATTCTACCTATATAGCAATAACCATATTTTAAAAATTGGCTACTATCTTTGGACACCACAGACAGAAAACATGAGGGTTTCAATTTAAGAATAAATTAAACATGTATTTGCTGAAATTAAGCCAGTAAGGGGGCACACGTGATACAAAATTGGTCGAGAAGATGCAAAAATAATTTATGGATTTTATTAAACTAGTTTAATAAACTAACAAACTAGTTTAATAAACTAACCAAGTACTTTTATATATCTGTTAAGTTTCATAATAAAGAATTGAAAAATAAAATATATTTGTCATGTTGTATATAAAGGTAACAAACATTTATGAAGAAATGAGAGCATGTGTTAAGCCCACAGTTTTATATTTAGGCGAAAACCAAAGTATAGCAGGTCGCAATGTAGTTAACAATAAGCACAGGTTTGAAATAAGCTTGGACTTCTCTTGCTTGTCCAGAGGTCATCACGCTCTTAAATTTTCAGAACAATAGTTGAATCTTACCTCTCAGATTTTAAAGTAGAGCTATACTTGGGCATTATTTTCATATGCTAAGGTCATGTTTCTGACAAGTCTTTTAAAATGTCTTTGATGTCTTAGTAACATAACACATACATATGTTTTGAATCATCTAAAATAAATACCCATTACTGGAGCGTGCATAACAAAAATTACTAGCTCTCTATCCCATCACTTCCCACCGTACAATCTCACACGTCTACATTCAACTCATTTTGCTATGTTATCTGGTATTCAACTCACTATAGCTCTAAACAATATGTTTGCACGTTTTCTATTGCTTTATTATTATGAAAGCAAAATTTAGCTCCCTTAATACTCTCCACTCTCATGTGTCACCGACACCCTGCCATCCTCCCAAGATGAGTCCAAATTTCTGATTAAATAGCTTATAGATTGCCTATTTCTCACCCCTGTTGCTTCTAAGTGAATGGAGCTCTATTAGAGTTACTCTTGGCCTTTTGTCCTGCTGCTTTACTCACACCACACTAGGAGAGGTACGTGACATTTGAAATATAAATTCAGAAAAATAAATGACACAGCATGTTTTACTCACCTCTGCCTTACTTCGGAATAAGAATTCCACAGGAAGAATTGCTCCAAAATTCTCTGTCAGGATTTGCTTTGTTCTCCTTCAGGAGGAGGACTTTCTTATGCAAGGTTGCTATGACTGGGTGAGGGAGCCTGCCTGTCATTCAGTTAGAGGTCCATTTTGCTCTTGCACTAATCTATGTCCTCCACTTTTGCAAGTAAAAATAGAGGTATCTGACCTCTAATCCAATATTCTTTATTTCTCAATTTGTTGAAATTCCAGGTGGAAAAAAGAAGGGGCCATTTATTAGACCCATCAGAGATCCATATAGAAGGGTCTAATAAATAATAAATATATATTATTTAATTATTATCATTCCACAAAATATATTCACTGAAGATCGAGGTATTAGACTATGACCATATTTTCTCTTTTATACAACTTTTCGTTTTTCAAAAAATAATTTATGTCTTCATTTTTTCTTAGTCATCCATGTACTTTTTACTACTCATTTATATGATTTAAAATTCCTTGATTTCTCTTCCAAAAGATAAATTTCATGTAGCAAATGTTTGTCGTTTTTATTTTTATTTTATATTATTATTATTATTATTATTATTGAGACAGAGTCTCCCTCTATTGCCCAGGCTGGAGTGCAATGGCGTAATCTCGGCTCACTGCAACCTCTGCCTCTGGGGTTCAATCAATTCTCCTGCCTCAGCTTCCCGATGTAGCTGGGACTACAGGTGTACACCACCACACCCAACTAGTTTTTTTATATTTTTTTGTATTTTTGTATTTTCAACCTCACCATATTGGCCAGGCTGGTCTCGAACTCCTGACCTCGTGATCTGCCCGCCTCAGCCTCCCAAAGTTCTGGGATTACAGATGTGAGCCACTGCACCCAACCTGTCCTTTTTATTTTTATAGAGCCCTCCTTTCTAGAGCCTTATAGTCTCCTCTTCCAATTTGAACTGGTTACTCTCTAGGCCTAATGTACAGTTGTTATCCTAAATTTTAATTTTAATTTTCTGTTAGTTCAATGTGGATTCACTGTGTCTTGGATCTCATTTCTCCTTTTTCTTGGTGTATCAGTGACTTTGGTGGAGCACATTCTCAGAATAATTTATAAAAATTGTACTTGGTAATTTCCTGAGACTTCAAATATGGAGAATTTAATGTTCTGCATACTCAATACATCAGAATAGAATAAGGATAGAATTTTACATGAGAAATTATTTTTCTTAAGCATTTTGAAAGTTTTATTCCAGTCTGTTTTATCTTCCGCTGCTGCCACTAAGAGACACAACACTGTTCAGATCCTATTTTTTTTCATATGATCTGCTTTTTATCACTTGAAATTGTGAGACATTTTTATTACCTATCCAACATTCATTCACTCTAAATTTGTTTAAATATTTATTCCATCCACATTTTTATAGGGGTATCCTGATTTGTTTAAGCCAAGCAGCATATGAGAGTGTGTGGCATAAATTACCCTCTTAAAGGAAAGTACACGTGCATATCAGTGAAGGAGAGGGCTCTCACTCTTCTTCTGTATGTGAACTATAAATCTCGTATCCCTCATTGTCACCACAAGCTGTCTTGTGAATATTAAGGAAACTAGACTTAGGGAGATCCACAGGAAGAAGTAAGGGGCAGACAGAATCAGGGTCCTTGATGACCTCAACTGAGCTTCTAATCATTCAATTACTGGAACTTACTCTACTTTTATAATGTCTTTTACTTAGTACGATAATAAATTTGATTTTTAATTAAGCAACTTTGAGTGAGAATTTTCTTTTCTTTTCTTTCTTTTTTTTTTTTTTTTTTTGGTTTTCAGCCTGAAGCATCCTGATTGCTAAAGAAAGCTTTAAAGATTTTATCTTTATCATTAATATCCTAAAATCTTTTGATTATGTCTCAGATTGTCAGTCATAATCCTTCCTTTGCTATGCATTTGATAGCACTTTTCAACATAGGAACTTACACACTTTGGCTTTAGGAAATACTTTCTTGTATCTTTGTTAATTGCCTTTATTTTTTCCCTCTGTTTTCTCACTTTTGACTGTCAACATAAACAGGAAAAGAAAGTCAGAAAAGCATTTTTCTTGTCTCTTCAGTCTCTCTTGCTCTATCCTTGCAACTTTTCCGCAACTTGGAAACATATTCAAATGTCCACCATTTAAAGAAAATTATTCTAAACTCCACTTTCTCCTCCAGCCACCACCATATTCCCTTCTTTGTCTCATTGTCAAATTGTTTTAAAAGTACTATTTTGAATGCCCATCCTAAATAAGTAGAAATGGGGATTAGTAAAAGGCACAGAACTGCAAATGGGCTGAAGCTTTAAGAGCTGAAAGCAAGAGCAGGTAAGAGTATGGGATAAGTCTACATTAGATGTCAATAAGTTGTGGTTAAGATAATGAGGGTCTCAGGTTAAATGGACCTGTTTACAAACTCCCACACTGTCAACTGATGACCTGTCAAAATGGAGAAGTGCTTTATGTAAACCTCTATTTCCTTTCATGAAATTGAGGTCATCGTATTGCCTACCACAGGATGTCAAAATCAGAATTCAGTTACAAGGTAAGAGCTTAATAAATGTTACTTGCACTTACTACTATTATCAGAGGCTGATACTATTAACATGAAGCAAAGAGAAATCTGAAGTACAACATTCCACACCAAGCAGGCATGGAGGTCCAGCTAATTTCAACAATGAGGTAAAGAAGCCAATAGGAAGCAATGGAGCACTAACTACAGACTGTAAGATTGAACTAACCTCATTTAGTTGGCAGAGAGATGGAAAAGCCTGAAGATTTGCCTGGGACACAGAGACAGGACATTCATAGAGCTTCTCCAACATCTGCTATCAGAGCCAAGAACCT